CGCAGGTTTGACCAGGTATCATGGTACGACATCACGGAATATCACGTGGCGAATTCCACCAAACCATGGAACCGCTATTTGATCTCTCCAAGAAAGGCCATAGCGGCGTTTGACACTGAAGTTCTTAAAGACCCGAGATTGCGTTCCTTCATGGAATCCCCGGTCATCTCGGCCATGGTCAACAACAGCGTGTCCAGCTTGTGGCCGTTTCTACTTTTAATGATCGTGTGGTTCTTAAGTTATGCCACTATGGTTTGGCTTAGTATCATCTACATTTGGTTTGATAAAGTATTCAGCGGTGACGACAATATTGGAACCAACGCTGACGGGTAATGAAACAATTTCATCCTGTGAAGATGACTTAAAGAACGACTTCGCTGCAAAAAATTTGTGGTTAATAGGGCAATATAGTACCTATATATGTATAACGTATTCTTGCTTAAACATAATTTATGACCTTTGTAATATTTTTGTAACAGGCTTTAAGATTCATTTTCTAAAATACCAGCATGTTTCATTAAACATTCAAATTCTTGCACAAAGGCAGAACACCATTGTGAGTGTCCGATATTATACGGTCATTAATTTCTTGGTGAACACTTTTTTAGTTATGACTTTCTTTCTGTCAAAACAAAATCACAAGACAGAAGATATGGAGGCCTTTACGCTTTGGGTGCTTCTTTTAGCAGGTGCTTTAAATTCATGGAACATAATGTATGTTCTTCAGATTATTCTGTGGCGAGTACATTCAGATTTTAAGGCATTTGTTTTTCGATTGCCTGAACGTCTCTTTAATGGCTACGGTTTTCTATGTTGCACATGCATTCATGTTTTATACCTATTTTCGTCGTGAGTGCAATGATGACTATAAGGAAGGATTCACTACTTTATACGTAATGTTCAAAATGATGCTGAACATGGAGGACGTCACAAAAGAAGTTGAACCGCCTTATCTGTATGTTATAATGATAAATCACTGTGCTTATGTTGTATTTGTGCCAATCATTACTATCAATTTCCTGATTGCCTTATTTTCTGAAACAGTATCACGGTTTTATGAGAACAAGAACATCATCATGTCGCTGCAGAAACTGTTAATTATGAACGATATTGAAACTGTGATGAGACCGCTGTTGGTGCTGCTGAGATGGAAGAGAGGGATAGTGGAGAGAGATGGGCGACTATATTTACCAGTGTATCACGGTCCTTTTTTGCTTCAGACTGGCAAAGTAGTTGAGTAACCTTTATATCTCGACTGTCTTTCATAAGCGAACAACACTGTATATATACTCGAACAATTACTGCTTTATGTCAAATGTATTTTTGAAATCGTTGCCCATATATTAAGATAGCACCATCCTCTACAGGAGGTCTTCCTTAGCTGTAACAAAATTGTATGAAAGATAATGTAAAATTCCGTAACAACTAAAGGAGACTTTTGAGGGTAAGATAGCACTGACACTTTCCGTTGTACAATGAATATTTATGATAAATTTGTGTATGAATGAATAAATTTGTGTGGAAATTTATGCAATAGTCATTAAATTATTATCCAAACGATAACAGAAAGACTGTTGATGTACTCAAACCCTAGGACTTAAATTGATCATAATAAAGGTTCTTTCAAAAAATCGAAAAGCTAAAGGGTAATGCCACCAGACAGGATTGAACCAGAGACCTGGCTGTGCCCTAAACCTTTTATTTACTTCTTCGACATACACAAAAGCTTATATTTCACTCGTTCAAAATTACATTTGGTAAATCTCCCTGGCCCTGTAGGCCTAGAACATTCTAGTAACATTAATCTTTGGGTGTATGAAGGCAAACATCTTTCGCAACGGCTTTAATATACAGGTAATTTTATGTATTCGATTAATCCATCAATTTCTTTAATAATCAAATTTGCACATTATACTGCACAACGTCCCCTGTACTGAGGGGTTTTCGCATCTGGTACATCTGGCCTCTGACAGCAAAGGCTTAATATGCGTAGACCAGGGAACGGACAAGGAAACTTACTGTGCACAGCCCATTACAAGAGCAAACTACAGTTTGCCCTGTGGTACACGCCTTATCAGTAAATACATACTTCCATATAAGGCGTGTGCTAATCGTGAAGAGAGTGACTGGCCAGAGGTTGCCCATCCCAAGCAACAAGGGCCCTTTGATTGGTTCGGGTACGAATGGGTGGGGTTTGATGACGTCTCAAGTATTGGGAGTTGATAAACCACGGCAGTGATTATTGTAAGTGATAACGGTCGTTTCCCTTAGTCTCTAACTATAAATGACAAATTGTATCAACCATGGTATTTATTATTTTTTATTTATAAAATTATTATATTACCATGGTCGTAACTGCTTCTATGCTATAATCAGAATTATGATATTTTTTTCATATACCGAACAGGTCATCAAACTGTAAATGTTTATCAGTATTTTTGGTAATAATTATGATTTCCATAAATAAGTATATCATATTTTACTTTAGTTAGATATTTTACTTTACTTAGATATTAAGTTAGTCTAATATCTTTGATAGACCTGAAACAGAAAGAGGTGTTTCTTCTTGTTCCCGGCAAATGACACAGGTACCGTATAGCTTGGCGGGGTCATGTTTTTGATTTTGGATACATCGATGACTTTCCTGGGGACCTGTGGTGAGGGCAATTGCTATCTTCGTCGCACAGACCGGGACCCACCAAACAACAAAAAACTGTGATGTTACGTTTTGAAAAGTCGCACATTACCATAAGTGAGGCTAGGAAAGGCAATGCTGGCATTAAGATAATTGAGGTTTTAATTATAGTTAAATTAAAATAAAGAAATTGGTATAACGTTGAAAAACTAAAAAAAAAAATAGACAGAAAGGTGATGCATGCCATATCCAATTATGTTTTTTCATTTTTCATTTCACACTGATTTAAAATGAAATTAATTCTCAATATTGATTAGAAAATGAAAACAAAAGAGTAATTCTGCACCGCGCGATTTTCATAATTTGAATAACAATTTTTATATTTTCTTTAAAAAGAACGGACCATTAAATTCCAGTTTGAAATAACTTGGATATTCCACGTCATAAAAGAAATTGCACAAGAGAAAACAAACGCTAACCATATTTGGACGAGGCTAGAGGGCCTTACAAGACCTACTTTGCATATTCAAACGACTACACATTGTATGAGTAAGCGCAGAAATAAATAACGAAAGAAACTTCGAGTCATCGCCTTTATCAATGAGTTCTTCCGGTCGTACTGAGCTGTGCGGGAGGGGGGTATCTTATCTGATGAGATTGTACCTGCTCGGAAACAACATTTGAGAAATGATGAGATATCCAATTACTAGGCCCAGGATAACAGAGTACGGTTCATTATGGAAAGCCCATTGAGACATCCACATTTACGGAAGCTGCACTTTGTCATATATTGAAATATATAACGACTTCATCATTTTCAAATAATAAAACGTGTTATTTACGTTTTTTCCTAACATTTGCTATGTATCTGTTTGAGTATAAAAAATGCAATCTCCTGAGCGAAAAAAATTGTAGATTGAATGTACATGTATAAGTTCGATGCAAATGTAAAGATTCATTTGCGAGCTTGCATGTAGAAGCATTTAAAGCCTTTGCAAAAATGAAAATGCGGCTATTGACCACCAACACACCTCAAATAAAACTTATCACTAATATCATCACTGTCAAAATAAGGAGAAAAAGGGGCAGTCGAATGAATAAATACACAGGACACCCAATAGCAATTTTTTTGAGGATGTTCGTATCTCCACAGTCAACTGACATCATGGCATGGAGAGATACATTGCACCGTCCGCAATATTGGATACAACCCCTAATATTTTATCTACACTGTATGATTAATATATAAAAACATAAATATCACTTCTGTAAAAACCGATAAACTGATCTAAGGACCGCAAACTTCCCGGTTATGAGAAAGCGTGCTTCACACTTACAGGGACACAGACGACCTTACTCACAGCACTGACTTCCTCATAATTTAACCTCGTTTGTCATACCTGTAGTTTGTTCTTGAAAGGAGTGTTTACACGTGGGAATTTTTTCGATCTAGAAGCACAACTTCTATCTTTGTATATATCAAGGGTGCAAATCAGTTGTATTACATCATACAGAGAGTTGTATTTGCCCAGGCATTCTAGGAACACGTTAGTAGTTTTTAACCAAATAAACAACAGTTTCGCTCCTAGATCGAATTAAGCTTTCCTTAATGTAAACTCGCCTTCTTTAGTTCAAAACGAACTCAGTTAGAAATCAAGGCTGCTTGAAAATGGACACTGATGTATATCTAGGAAAAATTAGGGGACATGTCTATCATTAAGTGTGTCATATAACGGATGACGTCGTCCAGACGTGCAGATCACCGTGACCATGTGTGACAAGTTGTCCTGCTCGGGCTTGAGTATATATAAAGGGCCAAGACCCTGGCGATTCAACAAATCTTACTGACAAGTAGACTGCAGAACCAAAGAAGAAACTTAAAGCGAATCTCTTAACCAAAGCTAGACGCAGAAGAGCAACACAATGGTACGTATCAAACAAAGTAGGAGGGAGATTTCTGCGATGGACTTTTCCTCTTGTAGGAAAATCATTCTTCATTTCAACCAAATGTCATTCTTGTATTCTCAGTTATTATTTTTTTCATCTGTTTTTTTTTTTTTTTTTTTTTTTTTTTTTTTTTTTTTTTTTTAACGTGAGATTAAACCTATTTTTTTGTCTCTCTCTTTCAGATTAGCCAACTTATTTTTGCTTTCGCCATCATCGTTCCGTCTACATGTAAGTACCTAAAATGTTGAATGAAAATTGCACATGTAGTACTATCACATAACTGTCTTATATAGATACGTGTACAAATGTGTTAAATGGAACGCAAATTGCCCGCAAATACATATCATTTTTACTTTTGTAATTCATTGTGTATGAAAATAGAATTGTCTTTTTCGGTACTGTCATGAAAACCTGCTATGGTACTAACCGTTATATGCAATTTTCAGATGCATTCAGAATAGCCTGTTGGTACACAAACTGGTCACAGTATAGACCAGGGGGTGGAAAATTCTTCCCAGGAAACATAGATCCTAAGTTATGCACACACATCTACTATGCCTTTGCTAACGTGGGCCTGGAGAACGGAGAGTGGGGCCTTCAGATGATCGAGTGGAACGATGAAGGTAGGCACAAAGGGCAAACGTATTTATAAATCTAAGAAACGCTCACGTCGATTAATGTATGAAGGAAAGAAAAAGCATTATGCAGAGACAGAAGAAAGAGGTAATTGTATACTTTTTCTAAACGAATACAGAATAAATGTGTGTAGTTACATGTATCACCCAGGGGCTTCTACGATGGGTAAATTGCATTTGATTATCAAAATGGATCATCATCAGATTAGTTAATTATGTATGATTTTGACATTCTCATTAATACAAACCTCGCTATCTTTTCAGCTAAATACACCGAGATGATGGCGCTGAAGAAAATAAACCCCAAACTTAAGGTGTTGTTGGCAGCGGGAGGATGGAACCACGGCACAGCAACATTCAACTCCATGTCCAAGCAGAGGTCTACAAGAGCCCAGTTTCTCAAAAATGTCATCTCCTTTTTGAGAAAGTATAACTTTGATGGTCTCGACTATGACTGGGAATACCCCGGGGATGCTAATAGGGGGAGTGGCCCCGAGACAAAACAACAGTTCTCTGATTTAGTAAAGGTAAGCTAGTTTAGGAACTGATCAAGTCGCGGTGCACAATTTCCATGCATTAACGTTTGCAATTGAGCAATCAACAATACCCATGATGCTATCTCATTATGGTTTTAATTACATTATATGAATTAACGGCTTTCAAAATGTTCAAATAGAAGTTACAACATGTCATGTCTACTCATCAATATTTTAGTCTTAGTAAAGCTTCATCAAGAAGCAGAAATAAGTCAGAATGCCTATTACATCAAGGTATCGCATACAGAATAGTGGAACGAATAAGGCAGAGATAATGGTGTTTTGGTGGAAACTAATTCGACGTCTGTGTTTAAAGCACGTATGGGATTCGATTATGAGATATTGCATGCGGTGCATACAGGAGGATTTATTTAACTGTTTATTAAACTTGATTTATTGAGAATGGAAACAGGGTAAATCAAAAAATTATTTTTACATGGTCTTCGATAGGATAAGCACACCATATTATTACTATTTAGGGAAAATGTTTATGTAATTGTTTATCTGCTTTCAGGAATCGAGGGAGGCATTTGACGCAGAGGCGGCATTAAGTGGATCCGAGCGCTTGTTAGTGACTGCCTCGGTCGGTGTGACTGCAGAGAAGGCAAAGAATGGATACGATATTCCTGTCATGAATAAGTAAGACTTTTTTCCACTTTCATGTCTAAATATTCCAAGAAGCTTCCAAGAGATTTCACCGGTAGTTCTCCCTGTTCGCCTTAATATAATCCGAATTGAACTATTTTAGGTGCATTTACTTTTGCTTGAAATCCAAATTCAAAAGGGCACCGCTTCAACGTGAAAACGAAAGCAAAAAGTTTTAGTTGTCAATACGACCTTATATATTTATAATTTTAGGTACCTTGACTGGACTAATCTGATGACCTATGACCTCCATGGCGCCTGGGAAAACTTCCTTGGTCACAACTCTCCTCTGTATCCCAGATCGGATGAAACCTACCCCCAGAACCAACTCAACGCTGTAAGATATTTATGTATTTTAAATTTTGCAAATAAATAAATGATTATCAAACTAAATGAAAATATAAAAAACCTATAGTCATTAAAAAAATAGACAACAAATATAGATATATGACCGTGGCATCCTTTAGGAATTGATTTGAGATTGTGTACAAGGACCTTTTCACTCAGTAAAATATAAACGAGGCTGTTTACAAAGTGTAATAATTTACGAATCTTGTGCTTATTTTAGCATGTTTCCGTGGAGTATTGGATCGCTCAAGGGTACGACCCAGCTAATCTCCTCCTGGGAGTGGGTTCATACGGTCGCTCCTTCACCATGCAGGACGCCAACAGACATGACTTGGGGGATCCCGCTTCTAGAGCAGGGAGTCCAGGGCCATTTACCAGAGAAAATGGATTTTTGGGTTATTATGAGGTGAGACTCCTTTATGATTTCAAGTTACACATCAACAGGTTCTCTTTCAATTTGGCCCTTAGAGTTTTTTATGAGGTGAGAAAGCTACGGATGATTTTAGATTGCCAGAGAAATACTCTTCATTCAAACAAGTTTCTTTAAGGTGTTCTGTTTTATCTACTCAAAGAGGCCTTGGTATTTAAGAAAACCAATACTATATACATAGAAGGTGTAACATGCCATAATAAAGAAAACTTTGTCACTCATCAAATTTCTAGGTCTGCCAAAATGCTTGGCCAAGTGTATTCAACAGTGAACACAAAGTACCCTATGCCTACGACAAAGTCTCTCTACAGTGGGTGGGGTACGATGACATGACAAGTATGAGAATTAAGGTAAGCATCTGCCCTAATTCAATTGAAAAGGCTCATTGTTTTTGAACGAATTTCACATGCAAAATTAAAACGTTAGCTAAAAAACATAAGAGCAATTAAAAATATTATTCAATAAGTAATTCTTCAAAAAAGCGTTTGCCACCATGGCAGCTCTAAACTCAAAATGTGTTTCTCTTGAACAGGCTGATTACGTATGTGCCAATCAGCTGGGTGGAATCCATATGTGGGCCTTAGACATGGACGACTTCTCTGGACAGTTCTGTAAACACGGGATGAACTATCCTCTCCTTAGAACTATAAACGCTGGTCTTCAAGCATGTAGTTCTCAACCTGGTACGCCTGCACCAACTGATGCACCCACCCAGGCACCTACTCAGGCTCCAACTCAATCCCCGACTGCTGCACCAACTCAAAAACCCACCCAGCCACCTACTCAGGCTCCAACTCAAGCCCCGACTGCTGCACCAACTCAAAAACCCACCCAGCCACCTACTCAGGCTCCAACTCAAGCACCTACCGCTGCACCAACTCACAAACCCACCCAGGCACCTACCGCTGCACCAACTCAAGCCCCAACTGCCGCACCAACTCAAGCTCCCACTGCTGTGCCTACCCAACCTCCAACTACAGCAGCAAACGGAGGTCAGTATAGCCGTAGAAAGTTCACAGACACAAACACGCAATGCATTCAATCAATAATTGAATTATCATGAGAAAATTTTGTTTAATAAAAAATTTCATCCATTTGCTTCTAAGATACTCGATTAGTAATAAATCAATGCTTGGGTAGCTTATCGTTTCTCAAATATGAAATAATTATGTAGTTACGTTACGACTCTGATTTTCCAGAATTTGTTTGCCCAAGTGAAAGCGGATATTTTCCACATCCAAGCAACTGTAGAAAGTTCTATCACTGCGCCATGAATAAAGCATTCAACAAAATCTGTCCGAAAGGCACGTACTACAACCCAAAGACCTACCTCTGCGACTACGAATACAACGTGCCATCTTGTGCCAATGGAAGCCCCATAGATATTGGTGAGTAGTATACATTCCACTGTGCTTCATTTACGTGTAGAATATTTCAATTTTGAAAGTTTATAACTGAGTTTAAATCAGTGTATGTTGACCGCAATGTTTTATAAAGTATTCTGTTAAATATTATGAAGGTTATAGGAACCACTTATCAACTTTTCTCTTTTTTGAAAATTTTCTTAGAAAGTCATTGGAAAGGCTGTTTCAATTTGAACTAGTTTTTCTGCAAATAAGTGAAGTTAATGAACACTTAATTTTAGAATGAATTTTGTGTGACATACCTCAGTCAGTTAAAATCTGTAACTTCAGACTCTGTCTAATATATCACTCTTTTTCCACTTTTAGAACCGTTCGTATGTCCCAGCGATGGCATCTTCCCCGACCCTGATGACAACGGATGTTACTACAACTGCGCCAATGGTAACCCATTCCACCTATGTTGTCTGAACGGCCTGGTCTTTGATACCCAAGACCTCATCTGTAGATTTGCCCTCCCAGAAGAACGCGAAATTACATTCCCTTAAATTACGAAATTGTAATTTCAGATGAAAATAATGTGTAAAGGCCAAATGTCCGTGTATGTGAATTAAGGCCTATGTTATGCCGGTGAAATGAAATTGATGAGGAACACGCTTAACAGTTTCTATGGTTATAAGACAGAAATCTCTTAACCAATTTCGGTTCACTCCCACTTGAACCAAATTATTTGTACTATTTAGTATTTATCAAGTTTTCTCTTTTTGAATCATTGGAATATTTATAATTATATCATGTAAATGTGTAATAAGTTTTAAGCTTTTAATTTTTCTACAGATTTTTATATTAAAGATAACTAACATATTTTATGATATCATATAAAGATTGAAATGGTTATATATTTTACAATCAGTAATCTTTGAATAACATACTTTTGATAAATGTTTTTGTATTGATGATCATATTTCACACAATTTTCAATAAAAATATTTGTAAGAAAAACTGACCTACTTTTCTGTTTTCGATATGTAATATTATACAACATACATCTAAAAATGATACTGTCAATTACAAAGCTCAGAACTCAAAGCCTAGAGCAAAATATAGACTGAGTGAGGTGCAGCATTTCTTATACATAAAAACATATTTCGTGGTCATCCAATTTTATCATCATTTCCACAAGTCTACAAACTGTACGCTGGGAGGGGGTTAATGCCCTTTGTACTTAATTGAAAATAAAAAGAATGATGACCCAAATTGCTATCAAAGGTTATCGTTTTTAGATTTACACCTCGTACTTTCTGAAGGGGCGGGGTCTGCAGACTTGTGAAAATGGTGATCAAATGTGTGACCCCATATGCAAAAGTACACCACATCGGCAAAATTTTTCATGTACCAATTTGTTCTTTCATGGATTAAATTTGTTAACCATAGAACTGCTGTATAAATATATTCATGAAAAAGGAAGAGTAAAATTTATAAATAAATAGACAAATTTGGGAGCCCTCTCTTCATATTGTGTATCATATGACGGAGTGGCGTTGCTAAGAAAGACATCAAACAGTCAGCATCAGAAATTCAGGAGTAAATAACTAGGATAGTGCAAGTACTGTATTGTCAGTTTTTGGTTGTAACTAACTTATTTATCATTCGATCGTGCACAAAAAAAGATGGGCATATTGCAGTTCAGGCCCGTAACCACGTTCCGAAGAACCTCCTTTTCGCCGGGAAAAGGTCCCCTTTGGATTTAATTTTAACTAGGTACACGAAGATTCATGGTAAAAGGTCCACTTTGTCAGAAAAAGAACCCCCTTTTGAAATTGCTGGCCATGGGCGCCAATAACGCCAATAAAAAGATTGAAGAGTTGCTGCTTGCCTGAAAAAAAAAAAAAAAAAACAGATGTGGTTACTGTATGTGATAACCGCATGTTCTTATTGATTACTATCTATGATCATTGTTATTAATCATCATATTGTTTGTTTCGTCTATGAAAACAGTTATACTAACATGAAGTAGTAAAATGGGGCTCCTGCGATTATTACTCTTATGTCATATTCCAGACAGCGGAAATAAAATCTGCAGTAAGCAATGCAGTATGGGTGTCAATTAAGGCGATGATTAGATTTCAGTGACAGGCCCGTAGCAAACAATTGCAAAAAGGGGGTTCTTTTTCTGAAAAAGTGGACCTTTTACAATGAAACCTTTGTGTACCTAGATTAAATTTTACAAAGAATGGACCTTTTCCTGACAAAAAGGGTGGTTCTTTCTAACCCCCCAAACCCCCCTGGTTACGGGCCTGATCGAGTAACATTTGTGTAACAAAAAATAATGAAAATTAACTGAACATGTTCAATCACATTTGAGATATTCTAACCAAAAAAAATAAAAATAAATAAATAAATAAAATAAATAAAATAAAATAAATTTCAAACAAAAATATCCTCACAACAGGTCAAGAAGAGGTACGTGTACCGAAATGGGACAAACCTTTATCTACATGTTCCAATATGATTAATATAATAATATTTCAATATCAAGCTCAATCAAGCTGATTAACTGGTCATAAAGCAGTAAATATTCTTACTCACTTCACCAACTTCCTCATAATAAAACTACAAGTCCCTAAATGATTAATATAATAGAATCTCAATATGAACCTTGCTCAAACTGATTAACCAGCCATATAGCCGCAAACACCCTAAATCACAGCACCAACTTCCTCATAATAAAAGTTTGATTGTCATACCTGGAAGATTGAGATAACGAGCCCTTTACGGGAGTGATTCAATCGCATCAAGAGACCAAATTCAATTGTGCTCGTTTCACAGTATGCATTTTGAACGTACTGTATATAAGACACTTCTAAATTCGATCTTTGAAGTTCCACAGTATTTCTTTAAGATCGGATAAACTTTGCAAAATGTATAATATTCGGCATCACTTCAACTTCAAAACCTAGTTTAATTTGCAAATAGGGCTAAGTGGAAATGGACAGTGAGATGTTTATCGATCCATGACTGGTAAATAGTCTATCATTAAGTGTGTCACGCTACTGATGACGTTGTTCAGACCTCTATGAGTGCAGGCTATTTGACCATGTGCAGTGGATGACGATTTAGCTATTTATAGACCCTTGTCCAGCCCTGACTTGTGCATATATAAAGGATCAAGACCCTGGTGTTTCAACAAATCTCACTGAACATCACGAGCTGACTGCAGAACCAAAGAAAAATTTGTAAAACCTTTCTGAATCCCAAAGTTCTATACAGAAGAAGTTCAATACAGAAGAGCAACAAAATGGTATGTAAAAATGCAGAAACCTTCGAACTTTTACATTGTTGAATGCGTTTCTCGTCGAAAATTATTTTACATTTTTCTCCTAATTTGTTTCAAATACCATTTTAATTTTAAGATGATACTTCATTGTCCTTGTTTCTCTTCCAGATAAGTCAACTTATTTTTGCATTCGCCATCATCATTCCATCCACATGTAAGTACTTTAAAATATGCTTAAACGATAAAAAGTTAATTGATCATACAATGCTTGCGTGTATAGTTCTTTATTCAATACTTTTAGTCTTAAGTAAACAAATATAGATAAATAGATATTCAGTGCATTGAGTGAGTTCACATAACCCGTGCATAGGCCTACTATATATTTTTGATCTTGTCTCAGAGAGTGTACGAAAAAAAAAATTAACGAATTGTTTTACGTATATAAACGTATAATTATAGATTTTTTTTTTTTTGCAGTAAACATTATTTCATTCACTATCATTTTCAGATGCCTTCAGAATAGCCTGTTGGTACACAAACTGGTCACAGTATAGACCAGGGGATGGAAAATTCTTCCCTGGGAATATAGATCCTAAGTTATGCACACACATCTACTATGCCTTTGCTAACGTGGGCCTGGAGAACGGAGAGTGGGGCCTTCAGATGATCGAGTGGAACGATGAAGGTAGGCACAAAGGGCAAACGTATTTGTAAATACTAGAAAAGCACTCAGAGAGCGCAGACCTCCGCCAAGGCAGCAAAGTCTTCATCCACTGCTGTTTCACCCCTAAATTCTCGATATTTTTTATTATGGATTATTGATTGATTATTGATCCGGATCACCACAAAATTATCTGTTCCTTGGCCCACTTCTGACAGTTCCTGAAAATTTCATCAAAATCGGTCCATAACTTTTTGAGTTATGTTGATGACAGACAAACAAACAGGGGTGAAAACAACCTCCTTGGCGGATGTACTAAATATAGGAAGGAAAGAAAAACAGTAACAACAGCGATCGAACAAAGAGGCAATTAAATAAATGAAAAAGAATAACTTTCTTTCTGATCTGATTCTGATTCTGACATCCCCCATTAATATAAAACTGACCTATCCTTACAGCTATATACACCGAGATGATGGCACTGAAGAAAGTAAACCCCAAACTTAAGGTGTTGTTGGCAGCGGGAGGATGGAACCACGGCACAGAAACATTCAACTCCATGTCCAAGCAGAGGTCAACAAGAGACCAGTTTCTCAAAAATGTCATCTCCTTTTTGAGAAAGTATAACTTTGATGGTCTCGACTATGACTGGGAATACCCCGGAGATGCAGATAGAGGCAGTGGCCCTGAGACAAAACAACAGTTTTCTGATTTGGTGAAGGTAAGCCAGTTCAAGAACTGATCGAGGCGTGACAGATTTGTAAACATTTGCTTTGAATAATTTTCCATGAGACATGACACTTAATACTATATCTTATTATAACTGTAGCCTTAAAACTGCCAATTATCCAAACGATTTTACGTACATACATGTATGTAAGTCAATGAGGGACAAAGCTTCCGCTGAATGCTCGTCACGAGGTAAACATAATATGTAGAATGCTTATCATGCCAGTACAATACCGTGTTTTGCATACGGTTCATACATCCTGTAGGAGGATAGGACTGCGTAACGAGTTGTCAGTATTTTATTTAGGGAAAATGTTCAAGCAATTGTATATTTGACTTCAGGAGTCGAGAGAGGCATTTGACGCAGAAGCAGCATTTAGTGGATCCGAGCGCTTGTTAGTGACTGCCTCAGTCGGTGTGACTGCAGAGAAGGCAAAGAATGGATACGATATTCCTGTCATGAATAAGTAAGATTATTTCTACTTTGACGTCTAAATATTCAAAAAGATATTGCTGGACGACACCAGCAGCATCTAAATTGTTTCTTCAAACCTTGTTTATCTAGTTATCACCGGCATCGTGCAATTTGAAGCGCAATTTGTTTTTTTTTTTAATGAAATTCGAATTTTCGAGGTTAATGTGTAACATCTGCATTCGTAAAACAGGAAAAAAAATGATCAAAGTGAAATCTAAAGTAATCATTTTTTTAGATACCTTGACTGGACTAATCTGATGACCTATGACCTCCATGGCGGCTGGGAAAACTTTCTTGGTCACAACTCTCCTCTGTATCCCAGATCGGATGAAACCTACCCCCAAAACCAACTCAACGCTGTAAGATATATTTCAAAATATACATACATATGCACTAGTATAGGCCCTACTGTATACACTGTATATATAATTTTGCAAAAAAAAAAAAAAAAAAAAAAAAAAAAAAAAAAAAAAAAA